TGATGAAAAGCTGGTTGTGAGAGTAAAATTTACCTCCATCACTCGTTTTTGACCAATCAGCGTTCGGTGTCAAAACGTTATTGCTTGTATGAGGATCCAGGTTAACAAGGAAAGTACATAAAGTGATAATCGCAAATTAGAATGAATTATATATTGTTGGAAAGGTCTTGCCGGGTAAAGTTCAATTGTACAATATTTCGCTTGAATTGCGAGGATGTTATGTGCAATAGAAGTTATCAGTTTGGTAACTCTTATGTTCCTGCACTCCTCTGAGTCAACTCCGATGACTTTGACATTGACGTTGTCAAGGTCATGACCTTGAATGACTTCCAATATGTTTTAGCCATCCCTTATTACTCGTTAAAAAGTTATTGACAAAATAAGTTTTATAAATGGAATGTATAGAAGACGATTATGGAAGACGACTGTAGCAAAAAATATATAACAAGTACTGCCGATATTTCATTATGAATACTTTAACCTCCATTATTTGCTGGTGAAATATTATCACGACCAAAAAGTCGCCACGGAGAGGCATTGTAAGATTTTGCACTCCATTTTTCTATTTTTTATTGATTTTTAATTTTATATTTTTATTTTGTTTTATTTTATGTTAAAATCAAAACTTGATTTAAATTTGTTGACTCATTGCAATGATGCTTTGAAGTCTATCAATCCAATCAGTTTAGCATAGTACAGGACCCACCGCCGAATAGTTTGGTCATGAACAGGAATTCCCTCCAAACGGGCCTGCATGAACTGCTCCAAACAATATTTGGTTACGGATTGCCATTTTTCCCGATATGTACCCTGTTGCTCAACATATTTTTTGTGTTTTTCGTTTTATTCTAGAATGTAAAATAAGAGAACGAAAGAAGAAAAAGAAAAGCAGAAAGACTAATGATAATGATAATGTTCGAAAAAACGTTACATGGAAGTTTACAAGGGTTTTTTTATCGCTGGTAATACGAGAATCAAAGTTTCAAAATTCAAAATAGCGGATCCAACACGGCACCTAAAAAAACATTAAAAATAAAAAATTGAAAAAAAAATAAATACAAAATTAAAAAATTAAAAATCAATAAAAAATAGAAAAATGAATTGCAAAATTCTACCGTAGCCTCTCTGTGGCGCATTTGAAGTCGTGATAATATTTCACCAGCAAATAATGGAGGTTAGAGTATCCATAATGAAATATCGATAGTAATTGTTACATATTTTTTGCTACAGTTGATCGTCTACCATACATTTCACTTATAAAACTTATTTTGTCAATAACGGGTAATAAGCGACGGCTAAAATATGTTGGAGATCATTCAAGATCATGATCTTGATAACATACATCAATGGCACATATATCAATCATCGGAGTTGAGATCAGAAGAGTGTAGGGACACAAGAGTTTTACCAAACTGATAACTTCTATTGCACATAGCGCCCTTTAGAGACGCCATTCAAACGAAGTATTGTACAACTGAATTGTACTAGACAAGATCTTTCCAACATAATTCATTCCAATTTGTGATTATCACATTGCGCACTTCCTTTGTAAGAGTGCGATTACATGAAACACGGTAAACGATACACGGTACAGAAACTAACTATGTAATTATAGGAACTGCGCAAATCATGCCACTTGCTTCTGTTTTCCTCTATTACATGTAGCGCAGTAGGTGGCACGGACCAGTAATAAATTCATGTTACTAAGCACTTTTTAATAAAATAAATTAATTTAAATGCAATTATTAAGTAAATTATCCGTTGGAAAAATAAGAGTATTGATGAAATATGCATAAAAATAAGTTGATATATTTTAATAAATTCATATTAAAGTGTATTTATCACTAGTCCGTGCCGCTTACTGCGCTACATGTAATCGCACCCTAATCGCACCCTCAGTGAGTGACTACCAACTGTGAAATGCGAAACATGGGGTGGGTATTCATAATTTGTGTTTATTTTAAAATCGTCTTAAATATAATGTCTTAAGATGTTAATACAGTCTCCGGATTGATTTATGACATCTTAAGATTGACTTAAGACAGTCTGAAATGTAAGAATAGTCTATGAATACCGACTTGTTTCGCGTCGTAAGAGAGATAGAGAGAGAGAGAGAGAGAGAGAGAGAGAGAGAGAGAGAGAGAGAGAGAGAGGAGTCGGTACTAAATATTTTCTTGCACGAGGAAAGATTTAGTACCAACTTCACGACGCGAAACAGATCGGTATTAATAGTCAATTCTTACATTTAAGATTGTCTTAAGTCAATCTTAAGATGTCGTAAATCAATCGAGAACTGTATTAACATCTTAAGATATTATATTTAAGACGGTTTAAAATAATTATGAACTATGAATATCCGTGTTTTGCAGTTATAGGCCTTGCGGAATAAGAAACAGAGAAATGACAGAGAACGATAATTTTAGAAAGAGACGCTTGCAAACTGAACACATCATGGATTACATGACATTTTCTCGAAAAACTAGACTGGAAAATGTTGATACTAATAAAAACCCCTATGCAACATGATTTTAATTTGTACGGATTAGTAACACCGTTCAAGTAGTAAATCCATAAGTTCGCCCATAAGTCCATACCACTTATGGACTTACTACTTCAACGGTGTTATTAATCTCTATAAATTGAAATCATTTTGTCTAGAGATTTTTGTTAGTATTTTTGTTAGTACCAACATTTTCCAATCTAGTTTTTCGGGAAAATGTTATGTAATCCACACCATGTAATCTTTCCACGCTTTCCACCATGATCAATCATCAAGCGGAAGCAGAAGCCCATCAGCTGGACGATAGCAGGGGTAAAAAATATTTTTGATATGAAAATTGCCTCGTTGATTGGTTGCTGCTTGACGCTTGCATGTGAATGCACTTTAAGATATCTATCGTCGGTCTAATTTACGCCGAAGGTTCGATCCAGGTCAGCATGCAAGAACCAACTGCAATCCCTTGTTACAGTCGAATGACCTCAGTGTAAACTAAGGGTACGACTACATGTAGCGCGGTACGCGATACACGATACAGAAATTAACTAGGTAACTATAAGAATCACGCAAACCGTGCCGCTTGCTTCTTTTATCTTCTATTAAGGCTTAAACACAATAGGCAATAGAGAATAACGAGCCGTCTAATTAGAGCTCTAGAATATAATATCGAACATACATATCAACTCTGATTGGACGGCTCATTATTCTCTGTTGCATGTTGTGCCTATTGCCTGTGCCTATTGTGTTTAAGCATTTACATGTAGCGCATTTGGAAGACCCTGGCGTACCGCGTACCGCGCTACATGTATTAGGTGTACAAAAAAGTTCTGAGCTTTTTTTG